GTCAGCTATGTCGCACGTTCCCATTGCTCTCACACATAGATCGGTGCCCCATGCAGGCCATCCAGGTCCTTGTCATTGAGAATCGGGGATCAGGAGGCTACAGAGAAACGGAGGAGAGGAGCTAGATGAGGTTTGAAGGGTGCTGGAAGGATGGCTCGGAGCGACCGTAACCTTATCGATGAATCGATGACCCCACGCTGCACCGACGTGGGGCCTTCATTTCGGCCTCGGTCAGCTGGAAATCGAAGATCGCAGCATCGGCTGCCTGGACTCTGAGTTCAAACGGTACGCTTCGCTACAACAGAAAGGCAGCCGAAACCACGAGTAGCGAACTCGGCCAGAAGTAGCTGCAAAACGGAAGCCCCGGCAAAGCCCCAATTGATCCGCACATTGCCTGTGCTGTCAGGTTTGGTGTGCTGTCCGCACGGCGTCGGTCCCGTATGGCGGGTATGCAAGCGAATGATCGCCCCGGATGTGTCTCGACTTCCCAGCGTGAGAGATGCTAAAAGGTGAGGGGTCAGGGGCGTCCTATGATCGAGGCAGACGCAGGCTGTTATTTTCTCCCAGACGGCATTCTTGCCATGATCTTCTACGATTAGCTGCTTCACTGCACTGGCCAGACTCTGTGATGCTTGTGGCTTCATCCTCAGCCTTCCAACCCAGGCCGATTGGCGTAATCAGCACATCGCTTGGCGATGACTGTCGTCTTGTGCTTCTCGTGTTCTCTGGCGGGGCATTTGTGTGGGCTGAGCCTTCATGCCCAATGGACGCATCGCATGGGCGCCAGCGAACCTGATATGCCGGCATGCGCATGTTTCTGGCAAAGCTTGAAAGCTTGTTTCTAACCGTGGTTTCGATTACTCCACCGTTTCCTCGCGAAGATACCCTGACGCAATGGCGGAAGACGACTCTCCTTTTTGCCTCTCGTCCTTCAAAGAGTAGGTTGTAGTATGTTATTGTACATTATCGTATATTGGAGTACCATAGAGTATATTTTAAGCTCACAGACACGAGAAGGCCCAGGCCTGGTGTGCACTTGAGCTCGACTGAAAGGTCAGGAGCCGGCCGTGCTGAACGATCCACTTCAGGGCGACCTTCTGGGCATCTCAAAAGGGAGTTGCAGAAAATTCGGGGTACCTTATTTTGGGGTCCTAAACCCTAAACCCTAAACCCTAAACCCTAAACCCTAAACCCCTGAAAATAGGGATCCTATGCCTATCATTTAGGGTACTCTATTAGGAGCTGGGGCCCTGCGAAATTGAACAGCGAGGAAGCAGGGAGTCGGACCAGCTTGAATATACTGTGCATAACTATAATATACTATATAATATACTATAGTATACTATAGTATACTATAATATACTATAATATAACTATAATATACTATGACTATACGATCATATGCAATGATATACTACAGTATTTTCTAATGGATCGGAGTGTCCTGATAGGTGCTGATGTTGTGGTTGGCAGCAACACCCTGGATGACCTTGTTGCCACCTGAGCCGTGGCTAATGACGGGTTTATGCAGATGAGTGTACCGAAAAATTGCTAGCCAAACCGAGTTTGGCCAACATGTGAAGCAGATAAAACACTTACATGCTCTTCTACGAGTGGCTGATGTCTCCAGAATGGCCACTGCGACCGACAGGAGAGTAGGCTTCCACGGTAATGTTCAAGGACTCAGAGTACGCCAATGCCTCAGTCGGACTGCCATGGACTGCCTACGGCACCGTAAGACTGCGATTGCAACAGATGTTCGCGCTACGTCGGGCTTTTCTGGCTGCAGGGTTCGGCAGACTGTGTCCGATTGAGGCTGTCCATCTCTTAGAGATGACAGGACAAGGCTTCGAGGTTTGCATCTGACGAACCGTCAGACGTCAGGAGGACGGCGAGGCTTCGCGCACACGGCTGCAACTCAGAATGTTGGATTTTCGAAGTGGCGATGTCTCCATGTAATGTCTGGGTGCCTTGACATGTGAAGCACAGATGCCATCCAACACCACATCGCCGACACTTGCACAAATAACTTGAGCTGATAACTAGAGTGCCAACCAAGCATTCTCAGCAGTCAAGCGGCAGCACTTCTCCATCTAAACCAGCCTTTAAACATCATTCTAAACCATCAATCCATCAATGATTGAAGCCCTGATCACCTCCCGTTCTCTGCCGGACCTTGACAGCGCTAGACGCGGGTTGTTCAGCGCACTTTGGCACTTACACTACTTGCATCGCTCAGAGTCGCTCAGTAGGCCTTTATGAACTGGGCTGTGTTCAAGAGCTTAGCTGCCACCAGCTCTGGCGACATGTTGTCATCCAAACTGTCCCAAAAGCCCTCGAAAGGGTCCTCGCTCTTCATGCTATTGGTGGACGCGACGACAGGAGCACGGGTGAGGGGGCTGGTAACGAATGCTAGGTCTTGCGAGATTCCCATTGCTGTGAAGAGCTGCTCTGCTGCCTCTTCCGGTGGCAGGGTGGAATCGATTAGTGCCCAGAAGTCCTCACAGTCCCAGCCATCTGTGTCGCATGCGGACTCTTCTGCCGAGGGCACTTCTGCCTGCGGAGTTTCGGTAGAGTTGCTGGCAGGCTCCTCTGACATCAGACAGGCCAGGGCGGCGGCATCCTCCTGTGACAATTGAGCATCAATCGGCTTCTTCTCCGAAGTCTCATTGAAGGTTAGTTGGACATCCGGTGCCTCTGCTTTCAAAGGCTGTTCCGCTGACATCATGGCTGCCATTGCTGCAGCATCCTCTGGTGACATCTGCGTGTCCGCCAGCTTCTTCCGCGAGGTCTCCATGAGCATTGTCATAAAGGCATCCGGTGACTCTCCAGCCACGGATTGCTCAGATTGAGGTGCTTCATTTGCGTTGCTTGGAGGCTGCTCCGCCATCATCGATGCCATCGCTGCAACATCCTCGGGGGACATTTGAGCTTCGACGGGTTTCATCTGGGAAGCTTCAATGGGCATGTGCCCAAAGGCCTCCGGCGCTTCTGCATCCATGGGTTGATCTGGTTGCTGCGCTTCTGTCAAGCTGCTTGTAGGCCCTTCTGCCATCATGGAAGCCAGGGCAGCAGCATCTTCTGGCGACATCTGGGGGTCTGTTGGCTTCTTTTGTGAAGTCGCAGCCAGCATCTTCAGGAATGGATCCGGCGCGTCTTCTTCTTCCACAAGTGGCACCCCAATAGAAGCCGCTGGCTTCTCCGAAGGTTCCACCACGGGCGCTTGCTCTTGTACCAATGGCGCCTGAGCAGCAGCCGTTGGTTTGTCCACTTGGCCGAAGAGCTCCAACAAAGCTTGCCGGTCTTGCATCTCCTGCTCAGCTGTCTTCTGAGCAGTTCTTTCGTTCAGCTCACGCTGTTGCCGGCGCTGGATCACATCTCTCTTGAGGTTCAATCGGTCGGCACTTGAGACCATGTTGCGAACGTACTTGCGCAGCTTCCAAACAAAGACCTCACTTTCGAAGAATGGAGCGAGGGCTTCCTCACCCTCGTCTTTGAGACAATTGATCATGTTTCTCACATCGGGATCCCACTTCACTGCGAACCGCAGGCATTTGCACGGCGGCTGCAGCTCAATCCTGAACTTTGGGGCCTGCTCGTCTGCGGCCTCCTCTGCTGCAGCGCTCCTTGCGCGCGACAGGTTGGCCAGGCGCTCGGCCAGAGCCTTGAAAAAAACATAGCAGAGGATCAGCACAAGGAGCAAGAGCTGTAAAGCTATGGAGAAAAGAGCCACATCGTGGCAGAGCGCGGGCAAAAGTACCACGTCTTTCGTGGTTGCCCGGTCTGTGAAGAAATACAACTCGATCATTCTCCCAACAGCTGGTGCTGCAGTGAGAGACTTTTGCTTGAGCCAACTTTGCCGTTCGGCGTTTTGACCCTGCGAGGACAACTGACGGGCTTTAGACGGCTTTGCGACTCGTCGTCTGGGTCCTGCCCAAGCGGAACGAATGTGACACTTCAGATCTGACAGGACCCATCAAACGCATGTGCTGTTGATCGGGAACGATGTCGAATTCTGGCCTCGGCATCGTACTCCAAGACGTTCAGCTCAATCTGGTTCACCTGGAATCAAATTGCTGTCTTCGGGTGCATTCGGGTGCACTTGGGAGACACGCACATCCACACTTCGTGATCTGTTGCTTGAGCGGTAAGAAATTGAGCACAGGGCAGCAGGTTTCACCTTCGCCGTCTTCATCAGTGACTCCTGGCGGATGATAAACAGCTACACTTCGCCAGCAAACATCGCCAATTAGCGGGGCCAAACCCAAGCCAACCAAGCCAACTTGCCCCATTTCTGCCGAGAACTCCAAGGCCCAGTCCAGAGTAGACTTGTTGAAGTTGCTTACGCCGATGGCTTTCAGGACGCCCTTGGCGTGGTAGCCCTCCAAAACCTCCCAGGCCTGGAGCGGAGCGCGACTCGGACAATGCCGGCGCAGCAGGTCGGCGTCACTGCGGGCTTGACTATGCCATGCCGGGAAAATAACCAATGAGCAACACAGATGGGCAGCTTACAGCCAACTTACAAGCCGTGGCGCAGCACAGGCACAAGCCCTTCTACCCTCTGTGGTTTTTGCAGCTGGAGCGCAGCAGGCGCTGTGCACCGCGCAGGGTCTTGATGTATGCCGGGCCTTGCGGCCTCCTCCTCGGGCCGACCAGCGAGGAAAGAACAAGCACTCAAATTCAAACGCATATTACAACTTCCAATACAAGTCATGAAGGCCGCTCTCCACTATACAACTCTTACAATTACAAGTCTTGCATGCCTCTGCCTACTGGCAAGAGAAGCAGCATGCCGGAAAGGGCCCTCACCAAAATTAAAATCTTGTCTGCGGATGCAGCGATACAAAACCCCCGACACTCCCAACACAGAAAGATCTGACTGCTTGGGAAGTCAAGAACATAAGCTTTGAACTGCTCCTTCGGAGCGAAAGCGAGAAAAGCTGCACATTTGGCTTGGGACTGCATCTCGTGTCCGTCCAGCCCCTGTGGATTCTAACGCATCAAGCAAGCTCTTTGGGAGTGGCAGGGCCGGGGGATGGAGCCGAACCCGGCACGGCGAGGCCCACCACCACATCTGACTGATTGAACTGCGGGCTGTTGTACGGCTCGTTCACCGGCTTTGGCTGCCTCATCTTGGCCCAGAGGCAGTAGATGCCAATGCATGCAGCAATCACAACGACTGTGACGGAAACGGACACGGCAATGGCAACCCCGACTCCCCCATCGTCCATAGCCGCCTCCGCATCCTTCTGCACGGAATCCTCTTCGCACTCGAAGCACTGGTGGGACCAAGTTGCGTCAGGAAAGTCAAGGGCGCACGCACCCTCGTAGAGGTTGCAGTGGCAGCCGGACTCGGGGCCATTCCCCGGTACGAAGCAGCCCCAAGCAGAGCCGTGGCAGCAGGACCAGCACTCATGGGTCCAGGTCTTGCCCGCCGCCGCGTCGCAGGCTCGCTCGGACACGGTGCACTGACAAGCATGACTGGCCTCGTCAAAGCAACCCCAAGAGTATTGCCTCTGGCAATCGGGATGTTGTTCGTTGGTCGTGGAATCACAAGATCGGCACGTGTCAGTCCAATGACCTTGCCGAGCCAGGCACTCTGTTTCGGTGACCGTGCAGTCGCATCGGTGAGTCTCCACGTCGTAGCATCCTGTGCCCGTGCCGGTGTTGGCATCTGCCAGCAAGAACCCAGAGAGGAGCACCAGCAGGGCAACGACGAAACCCGTTGGCCGTCCTGCAGCAGATGTCTGTGCATCCACGTCGCAGTCGAAGCATTGGTGGGACCAAGTTGCGTCTGGGAAATCCAGGCTGCATGATGTCTCGTGGAGGTTGCAGTGGCAGCCGGACTCGGGGCCATTCCCCGGTACGAAGCAGCCCCAAGCAGAGCCGTGGCAGCAGGACCAGCACTCATGGGTCCAGGTCTTGCCCGCCGCCGCGTCGCAGGCTCGCTCGGACACGGTGCACTGACAAGCATGACTGGCCTCGTCAAAGCAACCCCAAGAGTATTGCCTCTGGCAATCGGGATGTTGTTCGTTGGTCGTGGAATCACAAGATCGGCACGTGTCAGTCCAGGTGCCTCCCCGAGCATGGCAAGTAGATTCGGAGACTGCGCAGTCGCATTTGTGAGTCTCCACGTTGTAGCATCCTGTGCCCGTGCCGGTGTTGGCTTCTGCTGCGAAGAAGCTGTAGAGGAGCACAAGCAAGGCAATGACGAAACCCCTGGGACGACCTGCAGAAGAAGTGGACACCTCTCCATTACAGCTGCGGCAAGACTGCGTCCAGGACCCGGAACACTCCGCCTCAGTCGTGTCGCAGTCACAAGCATTTGTGGACGAATCATAGCATCCCCAGTTTCTCTGGGTCTGTGCTTCGGCGTCACTGTATGTGCAATTGTCCGCCGGCTCTTTGCAGGACGCCCTGCAGTGGCAGCATCCACTTCGCGGGGAGACGTAACCGGGCGCATACCACACGTTCGGTGACGAGCACGACGTCTCGGGCACATCGCAGCTGATCTCGTGAGATGTCATGTCGTAGCAAGAGCCTTGTGAGGCACAGGAAGTGCATCCAGATGTCCATGTGTGGCCTGTGCCTTTGGCTGCGCACCCTGCTTCCGACACAAGACAATCGCACTGGCGGGCAGCATGCTCATAGCAACCCCAGTTCTCTTGAGGGTCCTCCACCGCATCGCTGTATGTGCAATTGGCCGCCGGCTCTTTGCAGGACGCCCTGCAGTGGCAGCATCCACTTCGCGGGGAGACGTAACCGGGCGCATACCACATGTTCGGTGACGAGCACGACGTCTCGGGAACATCGCAGCTGATCCCGTGAGATGTCATGTCGTAGCACGAGCCTTGTGAGGCACAGGAAGTGCATCCAGATGTCCATGTGTGGCCTGTGCCTTTGGCCGTGCACCCTGCTTCCGACACAAGACAGTCGCACTGGCGGGCAGCATGCTCATAGCAACCCCAGTTCTCCTGAGGGTCCTCCACCGCATCGTAGTATGTGCAGTTCCCCGATGTGTTCGCACAGGATGCCTCGCAATGGCAGCAGCCACTACGCGGGGAGACGTAGCCGGGACCGTACCACATGTGCGGAGACGAGCAGTCGACCTCCGCCGTGTTGCAGGAAACTGCGTGCGTCGTCATGTTGTAGCAGGAGCCGGCGGACGTGGTTCCAGTTCCATCGGCGGCAGTCACGATCGCGAACATGACCAGTCCTAGCATTGTCGCCATGGCAACAGGAGCAGGTGTGTGCTGAAATCACGTGCTGGAGCAAAATGCCTTGAGTAGCCAGCGCTTGAGGATTTTGTGCGAACCACCTAGTGTAGCTGACTGACTGACACGGCAACGAAAACTAGACAGTAAGCAGAAAGCGGGTCAGAGCATGTGTGTAGGGCCACAGGGCAACGGGACAGCAACCGCCAACACCAAGTACAGACGACTGACATGGAAGAAAGCCCCACTGAGGCCTGCGAGACTCCCGGAAGAAGAACAGACCCGGTTTCGACGCTCACACTCGGAGTCTCCAGCCGAGGCTTGAGCATCTGTGAACAACAAGATTTAGATGAAGAACACCTAGGGTTCCCGACCCTTGCGATCAGTTCGATTCAGGTTCCCCGAAACCCAGACGACCACGGGATGTCGGTTTCGAGACGGCTGCATGCCCAAATCTTTCGGAATGGCTCGCTAGGCCCTAGGCCTAGTCCTCACTTCCGCATGCCCAAGTCTCAAAGGCTAAGCTCAGGATTTCTGAAGCCAGGGTGAGGTTGCATTAGAAACTGATTCTGAATGGTTAGCCCAGGGCCTTGGCACAGTCTCCCGAGGGGTAGTGGATGAGAAGCAAGTCGATGTAGTCCTCATGCGGAGGCTTTTCGCCACCACTTCCAGGCGCTCTGTTTCAAACCGTGGAAACGGTGGCTTAGAAGTTTCAGCTTTTTGCACAAGCAGCTTTGGACCGAAAGTGCTGTTCTGCTACAAAATTGAATGATGTCATGTTTTCAAGACCCTATAAGACTTTGAGAACTTGCGGGGAGGGGAGCTTTTGCAGAACGGAAACAAGGTCGCCTGTGCAACAGCTTGCCCATCCAAGCTGCCGTCTTCAGCTGCTTCAGATCGTACTCAATGTTGGCTGTGGCAAGGTCACAGCCAGGAATCCTGGCAGCAATCAATTGGTCAGAACCGCAGTTGTAAGCTTTGTGAAGCCATGAGGCTCGTTCGAGGGACCTTCGACATAGCCCAGAAACAATTCACAAGTGGGAGCACCCCGAGCCATCCTTCCTTACAGAAGGGCCGAACCACACGAAGAAGCTGCTTTATCTGTGGAATGTCTGAATCCCAATCCCACAGCAGTCTCAGCAAGGCCATGCAGGCCAATGCGGCCGGGGCACTTGGTTGTGATGAACACGTCCTTGCGGTCGATTCCTGCTTTTTCCAGCTCCTGCACGACGGGCATTCCTGAATGCAAATCCAGAAACGCATCTGCGCAGTGCTGCTGTCCAATCGCGAAGAGTAGAAGTACCTGGGCCTGGTGCCACTACCAAAAAGAGCCTCGCATCCTGTCGCATAAGCGGGCGCTGCAAGCAAAAGGGGGGTGGGGTCCTGTGGGACGATGTACTGATCCTTGTAGACCAGGGCCTGAGCAAACGCTGCCAGCATGTAGTGAACGCCATTTCCTCTTTCGTACCATGTGAGGCCTGCTAGTCGCCTGAGCTTTCTGCGGTGTCAATGCCTCGTCCGCCTAGCTTCAGCCAGTTGGACACAATGGCCGATGCGTTTGCAGTCTCGAGCCCGCCGATACCTCTGCGCATAGTCACGAAACGCACCCGCGTTTGAAGTGGCCTCCTCCCGCCTATGGAGATGATCGGCATCTGCACGCCGGCGGCGATCTCCCGCGTGGGCACATGCACCGCAGCATGTGCGAAAACTGCTATGCAACCGAGCGCTGCAAGGCGCCCAAGCATGGCGATAACCGGGAAACTACTCGAAGTCGGGACTGAGGAAGAAACAACTGCGGGCATCCGTAGCAACCTCCTGATTTTTGACAGCCCAGACTGTAGCAGCGTCCCCGTGTAGTCGCTACGAAAGTGTGGTGTGCTCTATGCCCCCCTCTCCCTATATAGATCATCAGCACAAGAAAAACTTTACTTAACTTTCTTTATGATGGAACAGCGTGCTGGGATACGGCACATCTCTGGTTGGCAGCAACGGCTGCAAACCAGATCCACCTGCACAAGTGGGAGGCGAAGGATTCAGAGAGTTGCAATGAAGCGGCGGGCCACACACCAAACGATGACGACACTCGACGACGACACCCAGCAACACCTGCGAACACGCTGGCTGCCACCGCGAGCGGGACACGCGGGAGTGATGGCGATGGCCGTAGCCCGGGTAAGCGAAACTGCAGGTTGAGAAAACATGAGAATGCTTGCCCACGGCAGCATTTGCACTCCCACATCAACTTAGACAACCCGGCAGCTCCAAGACATGAACCCTCAAGCCCTGAGCATCCCGAAGCCCTGGTCGAGCCTCGATATTTCACTTGTGGACGACCCGCAGATAAGACCTGGCACAGAGCGGGCCCGCAAATCTCCGGAGCATGGGCCATGTGTTTACCCGTCTGGCTCGTCAAACTGATGGATTTCCCGGCTCCACTTGCGAGGAACTTAAAGTCTTAAGGCAATCCTAACACAGCCGTGCCCCGTGTACCTTGTCAAGCATCTCCCACAAAGGAGCTACCTGCGGTAGCGATGCAAAGATCTCCATATGCCGCATATCATATATCATATGTCCTAAGCTCCTAGCCCGCTTTGAATATGTAGGGGCTGCCGCGCACATGCCCTCATGATCCCTCAGGCCAACCCCTCATCTCGAAGCATGAGACTCACCCGCAGCCCCCAAACCCTGAGCCGGAGCTCAGCTCCTTCAAAAAAACTACTGTAGGGGCCTTAATAATTATATAGAATCGGGCTTTGGGTATGTTATACCATATATAGTTATGAAAAGGAACCCCCCAAAAAAATATGATGGCTAATTGTTATAAGGCCCCTTTTTTAAATCCTCTTCCCTAGGAAGCCCCGATAACCCCCCCACCCATATATATATATATATATATATAGATATATATATATATATATATTATGGCTAAGTATAAAGGCCCCTATATTTAAAGAGGAAAAGCATCGGCGGGGCCCCCTTGGCCTGCAGAAAAGAAGTCAGGGCCTCGGCCAGGTCGCAGGTTCAAAAGTTTTTAAAGGCCTGCTTCCTCTGGCCGTCACATCAGCTTCTTTAGGGCTTTAGGGTTTAGGGTTTAGGGTTTGAGGGTTTAGGGTCTAAGGGTTTAGGGTTTACGCTCTCGCAACTCGGACACTGCCAGACGAGGTCTCTCGCGTTCAACTGGAAAGCATCTGCTTACAAGTGAGCGAACCATCAAGGTTTAGGGTTTAGGGTCTATGGGTTTAGGGTTTTAGGGTTTAGGGTTTTAGGGTTTCGACTCTCGCTCTCGCACACGCAGGCAAGGCTCCTCACACTTCCGTCACGCCAGAGAAAATGCAGGCTGACACACAGACTCAACCCATGAATTACCGAAAGCAAGCCCGCATCTTCCCACTACCACCACCCAGCCGCAGCTATGCAGCTCAGGTCTCCGCTAAGTTACTACAGGAGACACCAAGCAACGGCAAGGAACAAAGCATTAGATGCAGATCTGAAGTTGAAGTGCAGGAAACGATATCCTCTGTCTGAGGTGTCGAGTCGACCCATCTGTCATCAACTTCTGCACACACGCCGTTTTTGACCCGCAGTAGGCTGCCCTTTTGACAAGATCTCGCGGCTCATCAAAGTTCGCCGCGAGGTTCTCGCTTGGCAGAGTACCTGCTTTAGAGCAAGAGGGCACGCACATCAACTTGCGAAGCAGATATGCCACCCGAGGCTACCGCCTCTCAGCAAAGTCGAGCTCCGTCTGGTGCTTGCTTTTCTTTTTCCTCCCGCAGATTCTATAGCAACACTTGGCAAAAACGGATGCAGACTCACAGCGCGGTGCTGCCAGATGAGCTTGCTCAGTACAAACCTTGTTCGAGGAACCTTGAAAACACCACTGCAACAGGCTTCAAAGATGGCTTGGACAAAGGACTCGTTTTTGCCCCACTTCCAGAAGGTCCCCGCAATGAAGCCACGAAGGATGTTGGTCACGCTGCTTTTAATCAAAACCCTCATCATAATTATAGTATTCTAGCACTCACTCTCGATAAGAAGAGTACAATGTACCAATTATTAAGGGCCCCTACGTTAAAAACAGAGCAGGACTGGGCAAGGCTGCTCCGCTTGAAGCTGCAGGTGCAGAGCTCAGGCTTCAGGCGGCCAGACACAAAGGGCCCTAGCCTTATTTTTAGAACTAAAGTACAACGGGCCCCAAAACCCCACCCCAACCATCAGAGCTCTTGGGAATATACTCCTGCACTTATACTAAGGAGCCCCCGAAATAGTGTTGGTAAGGATTCGGGCCCCTATGTTAGAGCCGTGAACTGCCATCTCCTCGTGGCCGCAAAGCGCACATGCACCTGGGCAGCCAAGGCTCAGGCATCGGAAGTCAAGCTCTGGCCTCCAAAACCGCGGCATGTAAGGCTTCTTGTAGGGCAGGGTTTGGGGGTTTTAAGGGCTGGGGCCTGCCCAAGCAGACAGGACTTCAGCGTACTTCAATGCGATACCCAATCGCAGTATCTGTCAACCCCCCCCCTCTTCGACCCGGAACTTGTTTTGCCGTTGGGCTCTGAGTGTCTGCCAGAACCAAGTCCTGAATCAAACATGCACTTGCTACTTACGTGCCCTTTTGCAGCTGCGATTCTTTTCCCCAAAACTAACCTATATGGCCCTGGTCTACCAAAAAAGCCACTATGGTAGGTCACCAGGAACACGAGGCTCCCGCCACGTGCCACTGGAGCATGGCTTGGAGAAGCTCCTGCGCGGAGACCTGGCCGTCTGGCCTGGTGTACCCACTGCAAAGACAAGAAAGAGAGACGGAGAAAGACGAAGAGGGAGAGGCACGCGGGAGGAAGGGGCCGCCAGGAGGCATCGAAGGTGCACAATTCGAGCTTCGATCGAGGCCAGGGCGGGCTGCAGTCCAGGTATGCCAGCATATCCTTTAAAATGGAACTTGGGCTTGCCACATCTGCTTCGGCTCACGCCCAGTTGAGGGCTGTGAATCAAGATGCAGAATTACTCTCAAAGCCACAGCAGGGGCCTTGGCTGCTAGTAGCAGTTAGCAGGACTAACAGATCACGTGCTTCTGAATTCTGCTCAGGTCCTCTGCTCGGAAACGTTGCAGTTCCACCTCCATTTCAAGCCGCTGCTGCCTCGCATCAGCCCAACGAACATCCACTGCAGTAAATTCCGAAGCCCCTGACCCTTCTGAACTGGCGCCTTACGCCTTTTAAGATGATCCCTTTACAGGCACTTCGAAAGCTCTTCCGACATAACATGACCAGCTCTTGCACCAGCCCAGGTGCTTGCCGGGGCCATCCACCGAAGGTCTCCAATCGTAGAAGTAATCCTGTGAATTCAACACTACTCCTTGCCTGTCAAGCTCTACAACATACACCACGTCCCACTCGTGGCCGGGAAGCGCTCCTCTGAGTAAAACCATCTTGGCCAAGGTGTCCCGAAGCGACGCCCGGGGGCTGCTGGGACTTTCTGCGAGGCTAGGTAGTCCTGCAACTTGGGCAGGTTCTCTGCGCAGTGGCCAGTAGAGCAGCAGCATGAGCAGCCGTAGCGAAAACGGCCGCAGTGGCAACGGCCGCTACGGTCATCAGGGTAACAGTATCAGAGAAGTGTGGGCCGGAGGCGGCACAGCAGCAGCAGCAGCAGCAGCAGCAGCAGCAGCAGCAGCAGGGGTACGTGTAGCAGTGACGGGACAAGTTTAGACGTGCCACCACTGCACTGATACTGGGCGCATGGTCAATACACTGTGATCGGCGCACGCCTTCAGGATTCTGATGCCGTGGCCCTTTCCTTTCCAGTATAAGGGCTGGAATCTGCAGACTACGGGGTCCTGCAGCTCGTCCAACGACAGGAGTCCATTGCCATCCTGCTGCCAGATGCGCTAGATCACTATTCACTAGGCATCATATCTGCCGTTCAGCCCAAGGTGCCCCATCCAATGCAGCAAACAGTTCGGCATGTTGGGACTGGATCTGCATGGTGTCCTCCGTAGGCCGGACAGCCTGCACCAATGGTTCAATCAGCACAGGAGAATGCAGAAGTTGTAGCAAGAGATTCTTTTTCATTGCATCTGTGTGCATCTGCAAGGCACGGGTGCCTTGGGAGCCTTCAGTGTGGCAAAGGAGTGCCAGAGGTCGAGGCAGTGGCCCTCGTAGTAGAGGTGCGACATGGCGTGAGTTGGAAGGAAAGCTCTGAAGTAGCCTTGGATCGGACAATGGATACGAAGAGCGGACATGAGGTCACACGGAGTTGTCACCACGGAAGTCTGGCTTTTGAGTCGGCCGGTCCAGCACAGACCATGTCTGAGGCTCAGGGGTGACAAGGCGGCTTGCTTTGCAGCCTTACAGAAGATCACAGTATCTTACCCTCGTGTCTGATTCGATCTGGCGGGCTCAGAGTCTCGCATCGAATCCTTTCGAAGGGGCCTGCCTTTCAACTCCCGAACACTTTGCTGTGCAACTCCAGACTCACGTGGTTGTTCTCCGAGCGCCCGTCGTGCTGCCTACGGTCTTGCTCAAGGAAACCTGCACGCTTCGACCGGAAAACCGGGGCATAAAGCAAGGTGCTCACTTCCAATGGTCAACAACTTTACCATAGATGTGCTCGAGAGTGCAGGTGCCATTCTCCCAACCATGGATGTTGCTGATCGTATATTCATAGTCATCTTTCCCTCCCACGAAAGTCTTCTTCTTCACCATGTGACCCCAGTACCGACCCTTGATTTGGCAGAAAACAATATCCTTCTCCTTGATGTCTTCATGTTTGCGAACCGGTACATATCTGCAGCATTCCCCGCTCTTGATCCGCGGATGCAGGCTGTTTCCAGATCCACGGAATTCGACGGTTTCTCCCGCCTGCAGCCTTGCCCGCCAGGCTGCATTTCCGGTAAGCTTGGCTCCCCCGACTTCAGGCACCGCTGACTCTGATTCAATGATGCCATCAGCTGAGCCATCAGCAGATTCGCTGGCTGCTCGGCGAGAAGTCGCCCACGACAGCACGCGCTTTCCAAAACAGGACAACTCGGACAAGTCAAGCACGAGCTGGCTCGCAACCCAATCTGAGAGCTCATGTAGTGCATCCACACCATCCACACTCAGATGCAGCTCATCGCCGATCTCGGCAGCCACGCCCAGCTCCCCATGCACGTAGATCTGTGCGCTGTGTTTGTGAAATCCAGCATCCAGCAGCGCAGCGGCGATCTCGGCGGCCTCACTATACAAAGCTGACAATCACTAGCTCAAGCTTACAAACAGATTCACTTCGTTCAATGATTCAATACTGAAGAACTTCGTCTGCAGTGTTCCGCATTGCCCTGAACTCTAAACCTGCAGGTGCAGGTTGAATGCATGCAGGCCACAAGATCTCCTTCCAGCTTGACAACTGCAGCCACGGGGGCCGAGTCATCTTGCTCTGGTGCATTCACCAAGGCGGCCTCCCCACTGCCAGCATGTCCACCGCCTTGCTGCTGCCCTTGAAAGGCCTCGAAAAACCGGGTCGCCAAAGTGGCACCATACTCCTCACCTGGGCTGAAGCCTTCCAAAAAGGACCTGCACATCGCTTCAGCTTGGCCCCGCTCGAACAAAGGTGCATCCAAAAGCAGCACCGGTGCTGAGCGCGAGGGGTAGTCAGTCGGCAGCTGCACCGTTAATTCGGCATGGGCGTCCGTACATCGCAGGATCCACTCGCAAACATCTGTTTCGAAGAAGTCGTCCCCAAACATAGCAGACAAAGCCTCTGCCTCATCACGTCTGCGAGCAGAATCGTCAGCCATTCGACTCCGAAGTCTGCTCAGACAGGAGCTCTGGGAGTAGGACACTGCGACGGGGAGGACCAGAGGACTGGAAGGCAAGAAACACGAAGATGGAGTAATGTAGGGGCCTTATAATAATCAGAATAGGGTTTCGGGGTATACCGGGTATACTATACTATGTTTATATTAAGGAACCCCAAAATAGTACTGTATAGGTAATCTTTTAGGCTTCTATATTAGAGACGCAGCTCCAAACATATGTACGTGCTGCTACTTGGGTTGGGCATGGACCGGGGGCATGGTTCAGTGGGAACTTGACTGCGAAGCTGCCCGGCACTTCTGTGATTCTAACATGGACCCATACCCGATACAACGAATCCTGCGAGATTCCAGATACAAGGACGCCTGGTTGGGATCATCTCCGAATGTGTCCGATACACCACCGTCCTACCCTCTGATAGCCTCGCGCTTCCGAGAGGTCGCCACCACTTTCTTGATCTATCTTCGCCCCTGGATCTAGCTAATGCTCTCCGTGCCGCCTGGGTGCGGGCCGGTACCGGAAGCTGAAACTGGAAGGTCGTGGCCTTGTTTGGGGTCGCGGCAGGCGAACTTGGGGTGCGCAATACTGCTGTGTATGGTTCCCTGTCGAAGTTCTTCCACATCTGTCACAGACCACTACAGTCACTGCAGTAGGTACCTACCGGGGACCTAAGCACAGAAACACCCCGGCTCCGGTCAGTTCCTGCGGAGCATGGCGCGGAACGTCTCTTGTAAGCAGCCTGCCACTGTGCACTCGGGGTTCCCCTCCTCCGGGACTTGCGTCTCGTGGAAGATGTTCGGAAAGAAGACAATGGCCTGTGGGGGTAGCCCAGGAGCAGCAAGTTACACAAGATGGATAATGTTCATAGAGCTGCTAGCTGTCTGTCTTTGCTTGTCTATGCTTTAGTTTACTCCTGCCTTTATTTAGAATCTAGCATAAGTAGGTATCACTACCTTCTTGCTCTGTGAAGTGGCTTCTTCCGCAAGTATCCCTATGTTTGACATCTGTTGGAAGCAGTATTCATGCGACTCATTGTCGTCCATCTTACTCACGGTTTGCCTCCTGCATGGCTGAACATGTCGTCCATCTTACTCATGTTGCCTCCTGCATGGCTGAGCGAGTCGCGAAGCAGGGTGATGTTAGATGCTCCAGCCAAAAACTCATGGTCCCTGTGATTTGTCAACCCTCTCCGACACCCGCACCCGGCAGGTCAGGGCACGAGCATACAACCTTCAAAACCAAGCCCGAACAGCACACAGTGATGGCCTAATAATTATTGACATGAATTACTATTGTCATTCTCATTAGCTTATCTTCACTAGTGCTATTATTCTTATAGTATTATGATAGTGTGATAGTATTATTGCAGTATTAACACCTTCGAATATTACATAATTATACACTATTGTTGTACGTCTCACTCTACTTACAATAATTGTTCTTGTTGTCGTGATTGTTGTTATTAAAAGAACTATCATTATGATTGGAAATTCTCGTTAGTTTTTGATTTACAGATAGCCAGCCTAATAGCCAGCTGCATTTTTCGAACCAGGAGCCTGGTGGAGAATCCTGAACCTTCTGCCCTGACGCGCTGCACTGAACCGACTGATGTCCTACCCTAAGGGTCCAAGTAGTCCTTATTTATGGTTTTAGGTACCCAGAAAGGCCCCAAAGTCCTGAAATAATGGGTACTTGGACCCTTAGGGCTAAATATTCCTAAATCCATGCCTCGCCCCCTTACATTCGCCAGGTGCCTCGCCCTGCTCCACCGTAGCTTCCCACGCCGGCTGCCACAGGTGTGTGCTGTAGATCCTGAGCCACAGAGCAAAAGTCCCATGAAATCCTGGCAAGCCGCGAAAGTCTTTGTCCCCCCCAGAAACAGTCCTGAATTTGGAACAGCCCGGCATTTCGTCTTTGTCTCAGAAGCCCTCTACGGCCCTACCACATCTGAACAGCTCCGCAACATTCGTCAGTTCCCTCCAGAGGAAATCCGTCGACCAAGGCAGGCTCCCTCCATCATGAGAGTTGGGAGCCCATCGAGACATGTTGACGTGTGGGTGGGGCATCAGCCGCCAGTGCCTCGGATATTTCGTTGCACGGTAGTACGAACAGCACCGACAACATGGATCACACTTCAAGCTCTTTCCAGCTGTCTCCGAAGTCGCTCTCTCACGCTCTCGAAGTTGGGGCGAAAACCCACACTACAGACATGCACAGCTACGAGTCTCCGAAGTCGCAAGTTGTATCTAGTTGCCTGCTAGGCTCATCTACGCTGCTAGACCACTCTTGCTGAGGAGCTTGCGTCCAGTCAGCTGCAAAGATACAGCAGGAATGCAGTACGTGTCCTGGTCACCATCGCTGTATGGGTGCTGGGAACCCGACTGCAGCCTCTCTGCAGTGCACAGACACAATTTCACCCATGCAAAATGCCTATGCAGTCACCGAGCTGACCACTGATTGATACCATCTGATTTTGGGAATTTGACAACAGAAGCAACAAGGATAAAACTCTGCAAACTTGCGCAAAGGCGGGTCCGCATGGGCAAGCACAGACCCATTGCGCCGATGGAACCAGAACCTGTGCTAGAAGCAACAAGAACAGCAGACACAGCAAAGATTTCTTGGGCTTTAGGCTTAGGCAGCGACCGATCTGGTGTCAGGCTGGAAACTTTGGCTTCGGAGGACTGCTGTCGATTTCAATGGTCGCGGGCTCAGCTGTGAAACTTGCGGCTCGAGCGACTCGGCGGACTCGTTGGCTTCACGAAGGTTGGTGGCACCGCGAAGGAAATAGGGCGGCTGCCATGCCTGGTGCAGCATGGTTGCGATTTTTGTCGTTCAGGGTTTTTGGGAAGAGCTTCGACGTGTAGACACCACCGACAGCTAGGCCAATACAAATCCCGGGCACTCGCTGCACGGCGGCGCGGACATCCGGCGGGGCCTCGTGGCCTCCGTCCTCCCAAGCAAGGTCTCCCATAGCTCGGCATGAAACACTCCTGCAGTGCTTGGGCTTTCGGAGGATGTGAGCGGACAGAGACGTAGCTTGCTTTTTCCCGCCTGCTCGTGTCAGGTGGAGCGTGGCTCGGCTCGGCTGCGAAGGAATGCTGTACAAAGCCCCGAAAGCAGGTTCGGACCGAGATCGGCTCAGGCCGAGCGATCTTATGAACCTCCCTGCTCTTTACAAGTCCAGCCCTGAGGAGAAGCCAGGTGTGGCACATCGGCCCACCCTGTACATTGCAGTTCACAGGAGCCCAAGCGAGACGGTTCGGAGTTTCGGGTTTCCTTCCGATTTCGGGTTCAGGGAATGCCAATCATACCGGAGCTCCTGGAGCTAAGGCTGTACAATACAAACCGCTGTCGGTCTTTGCACTTGCTGCATGCAAGGAATGAATTACTAGAAGAATGCTAGCAAAGCCTGCCTATAAGCCGAGGGTTTTTGCGAGCTCTTTAGCAACCTCCCAAGGCCGCACTGCTCTGATACGTCATCGAAAGCAGCCTTTCGGCCAGCCGCGGCGCGCCTCCCCCGAGCTCCGAGCGGGCACACTGCACTTGCTGTCGGTACATGCTATTCTCATCGCACACCTGGCGCAAAGACTCCGCCAAAGCAGTGCTGCTGACTGTCTCCATGGGTTTGAAGAAGGCTTGTCCCCAGCCTCTCTGCTCCACCTTGCAGGCGTTGGCCGGCTGGTCGACTGCCTGTGGGATGGCTACCAGGGGCACTCCAGCCATCAGGCTCTCCTGGAGGCTGTTGAATCCGACGTGCGAGATGAAGGCGGATGTGTAGTTGTTCAGCATGTCCACCTGCGGGACAAACCCACGGATCAGGACGTTGCTGGGTACGACCTCGAAAATCTCTGCCTCGCTGCTGCCCAGGAAGTCCAGGGCATCTGGCTGCTTCCCCACAGAGAGAACGCAAAAGAAGTCATCCCCCAGCTCCTCCATGGCAGCGAGGAGAGCTTTCCAGACATGCTGGCAGAAAGCCTTGCCAGTGGTCCCGTCAGGAAGGTTGTAGCCACTCATACGGCCGAGGTCAATGCTCCACCGATCTGAAAGTGCCATGGTGCCCAAGGCGGCATAGATGATCTTCCTGCCCTTGGCCAGCTGATCCGAGAGCTCTGCGACAGGCAAGGAGTGGCCAAAGCTCTTCACGCGCGGGATGAAGCTGTCTGACCGTGCTGTGATCACATGCGGCGCGGAGCTGCTGACGAGGCAGCCGACTGCCGAAAAGCTGAACTCCCTGCGCAGCTCATCCGCCCACTTCTGCTCTCCCGAGGCTGGCAGCTCAGCGATCAAGTCCTCGCAAGTGGTGACAAAATTCGTCTTTGCGTAGAACTGCCGGCGTGTCAGGAGGTTGCAGCGCAAGTCCACTCCGAATTTATCTTGGATAGCCTTTCCGAAAGGCTTGCGGATGGCGCCAGCGCGGTCCAGCCGCCCCTCACCCTCAAATGTCGACATCAAGCCGGCAAGACTCCCCATACCGGGGTAGGTGACCAAGGAGGCGCACTGGATGCCTAGCTTCGTGGCTGCCAGGAGCCCAAGGGGCAGGAAGGGGTCGTAGAGAACCACGCTGACTCCCAGCTGTCGGCACCGCTCGATGACATACTCCCCGCACAGGAGGGCATGGGCCACAGGCCAAACAGCTCTCTCGTATTCTGCACGGTCGTCCTCCAGACTCTCGGGCACAGCGTGACACAACGGCTCGTCAATGCCACACTTCTCCATCACGAAGTCTGATGGATCCTCAGGGAGGTAGCCTTCCACGACTGCCCCGGACTCGATGGCAGCAGCACGGATCGGAGCAACAGGCGGCAAGAAGTAGCTTACCTTGCAACCGCGCTTGCAGAGCTCCTGCACTAGGGCGAAGGTAGGGTTCACGTGGCCGATCATTGCCACATTGAAGATGGCGATCGTCGGGCCCTCTGCGGTGATCTGCTGATCCATCGGCTGGCTCATTGGGGCCATGATCCACGGGTCGGCAAGGCGAAAGTATTGCGTGGGAAGAAGGTTTTGAGAGCTGTGGATGGATCCGTAGCCAAGCACAACGATTGTGATTCAGGTGAGAGCGATGCATCAACTCACAAAACATACAGTTCAACTCACAGTAACAGGCAACTCGCTCTACTACTGACAGGTAACGCCCACGTATTCCCAAACTCGCCGGCCTTGACGTGCCACACATAAGGAGCTGTCGCATGCTGTGCAGGCTCTGCCTGACATGGTTCAGACATCCGGAGAAAGCCAGCAGCGCCGCATCACGGATGCTCAATGCGGGCAAACAAAGATGTCCTTGCTGGACTTCTTCCGCTTCTTCGCTGCTTGATGTCGATCCTTTGCAAACCAAGCCTTCCAGCGAGTTCAGGGGAAGCCAGTGGAATCAACAAACCTCACAGAAAATAGCCGGAGCAGTTACATGTAGCTCTTAGACGAAACTACCTGGAACTACAGAGCTAACTGGCTTGGCCTCGCCTTGCTGCCAAGCGAGATAAACTTTTCGGGCCTGGCATCATCAGCTCACGGGACAGGCCAATCATGGAGTTCGTTTGCACTCCGAGTCGCCCGGCCTGTCGTCACCAGTATACTCAGCCCGCATCTGTGCGGTTGGAAAATGCTCATGGAAGTGCTGGCAGCTTGCGCCTACCAAGTCGATCCCACGACCTCAGGGCCGCGTGCATAAAAACGACGATAAAGCACTTCAGAGCAGGGTTTACCAGAACCAGGATCATAACGAATTCCCCGTATAGAACGTAAACCGCTTATACAGCCAAGGATACTACGGAAGTGTGTGGGCAATCCCAGGTAAACTCTGCACAATATGGCTGCAAGGCAGGAGTCCTGCATCAGCGATGATGAATGGACGACCCAGGCGGATGCGGGCATCAAAGTCCTCCGCTGTTACCTCCCGAATGCCACTCTTCTGCACATCTGTTTCCTTTGTCGTAAGACTCCCTTGCGGGTTTACCCTGGGGCTGGTCATGGCCGGTCGGAGGTCGGCTTTTCCAGTGCCATGCCCCAGCTCTTGACTGTCAGGCTTTCCCTGCCTATGATGCCTGCTGGTCCTTCAGACTTTCGAGTCAGTACCATGTCTCTTGTTTGCTTGCTTGCAGGGCGTTTGGGGGTGTGGGGAAGCGAGCTCCCCAGACGACTGCGCAGCAGCGCGGTTACGTCGGTTTGTCTACCATCATATCTCTCTTGCTTGCTGGGGGTAGGAGCCCTTGCTGCTTGCTTGCATGGGGTCTGGGGACCAAAACGCAACTCTCTCTCTCTCTCTCGCTCTCGCTCGCTCTGTTCTTCCACTGGGCAGAAGGGACGGGTCAGGTCCCTCAACCTCATGGGACCCCCATGTGTTATGGGGCTTTGAAGGGACCGCGATAAGGTTGGCTCGGACGGATCGGGACAAGTACTGAACAAGTTGAGATGACCATGATTAGAGAAGAAAGACTGCAGTATGGCGAAAGTGTGTCTTGTCCCACCTTCTGTACGCAGTGCTGGGACACCTAACTGAGTAAGACATGCCCCCCCTTCGACCAGTCTTGCTTGCTTGTCCCTCTCTCTCTCTCTCTCTCTCTCGCTCTCTCTCTTGCTTGCTTCATAGCAAAGGCGCGCGGGCGCGCCTCCCCCCGCAGGGCTGAGGGTTTTTTTAGGGTCGCTCTGTCTCTCTCTCTCTCTCTCTCTCTCCCCCGGGCATGAGGGTCGGTCAAGACCCCCGGGCCACAGGCCCACCCGCATTGTTTTAATGCAGGATAGGGGTGTGAGGAACGAATCTCTCTCTCTCTCTCTCTATGTGTATATATGTACACAGAGTGTGTAAGGATGTGTATGAGTTTTTTACCTACCTGCCTACGTACCTACCTACCTACCTACCTACCTACCTACCTACCTACCTACATGCGGAACACGCATGCAACTTTATGTATGTGTGTGCGTATGTATGTATGTATGTATGTATGTATGTATGTATGTATGTATGTATGTATGTATGTATTGGGTGTATGTGTGACGGACTGTTTGTATCCGTACAATAAACAAGTATTTGTGCATGTCTGCGCACAGAGATCATCTATGCATGTGCGAAAGCCGTGTGCGAGCACCTCTCGCAAGCGCTCCAGCGGCTGCGGGGAGTTGTCTTTCTCCAGGCCGAAGAAGTCAGCAATGCTGGGCTCGGCAAGCGGTGCCAAGTCAGGCAGCTGCGGGAAGAGCGACGGAGAGAACACCTCACAGGAGGTTGTGTTGTAGTAGGTTCTGCTTTGCGTTTGTTATATATATATATATGGCACGACAATTTGTATACTATAGTTGTGGAAAGAACACTGTACAGTAATGCGCTTGTTGCGATGTTCTCATATTCTGTTATGCATCTTCTATAAGTCATTATATATGTCATATTTGGTCTATTATACATTGTGTTTTGTGCTATATTATCTATTGTGTATTATACTGCAGGGGAACACATATTATACATTTTACTACAAAAAGTAAGCTATAAACTATAGCATATGGTAAGCATTTTCTGACACCTTTTATGAAAAGTGTCTTTGCTGATTATAATGTATTATATATTATCTAAAGATATTACACTGTGTCTTCAATATTATGTTATACATGACATCGTCTAAAGTATTTTGCATATTGTATCTGGTCTTATGTTGTAGTATGTTTTGTTGGCTCGAGCATGGCAGCTAAATGTGACTCGACACTACATGGCATGTGTAGTATGTTTTGATATAATGTGCAATATGCTCTGATAAGAGATGGTAGACGAAACATGATAGTCCACAGTAATTTTATACTATAGAGTCATAGAAGAAGTAAAGTATACTCTAGTAGAATTCAATAAGTTCAATCTAGTATCGTATAGATGGTGAGAGGGTGAGGTGTAGTCTATTGTCGGGCTTGATTTGAGGTTTTAGGGTTTCGACTCTTACAGTCAAGGCTTCACAACAGGTTGATGATCGAATTAGGACGAGTAGATTTCTGCAACGGCCCGGACGGTAATCGGTGAAGCTTCCTACTCCGAGCTGGGTTGAATTCGCGAGGTTTGCCCCTGCGGTAGCCTGCGAATTTTGGGCACGCCACTTTAGGCTTTGGGCTAAGCGCATGGCATTCTTGCACTTTCAGACAGCAGAACTGAAGCAAATAAAGCAGGAGAGCTCGCCTGGGCAGCCACGCAGGCGTGGTGCAGAGTGACGGCCAGAACTGAATGCTGAACTGCCATGGCGGTTCCGAACTCCACGAAGGCATCATGCGGCTGCACGTACTGTAGCTAGATGTAGCTTTGCTCACTTGTAAATAGTGGCAGGCACTGTTTTTGTTCCATCCAACAGATTGGCTCAGTCACCCTGCAGCATTGCCAGCACCGCGTCGTCATGGTCGTCGGCGACTGATTCACTACGATTACTTCAAGGACACATGCCGATGGTGTGCAGTTTGCCAATGCTTGTTGTAAGCTTGTCATGGAAGTCCCTTGGCAAGCCGCGGACAAAGTACTAATTACAGTTAGGGTCAAAGCTGCTGGACTTGCATGCTGCACAGCTCCGCTTGCTTTTCTTGCCTGTTCGAGCGGTGGCGGGGCCAGGCTCGTCGGGAAAGGGTTCCAAGGGTTGCTCATCCTTACCTTCCCCGTCGTGCCGATTAGCGGACCTTCTGCCTCTACGAAGCAGTTCGGGAATCTATGTATCTAGAATCTAGAAAGTTGCAGACACAGCCACTGGCAATAGAAGAAGTCTTCCAGGCGCACTGCAGGGTGCATGGAGAAACTTCCGCAGTGGACCGCCCAATTGTCCGGAAAATGTCAGGCAAAGAGGAGCCTGCCCAGAACTAGCTTAATTGCTCTGAATTATGCGATTTGCCCTTTGCTTCGGAGGCAATGCCTCTGCAAGTGGGCAAACGCTGAAATGTCGCACTGCCACGGCCAGTTCAAGCTCTCAGATCGCACCAGACCATAGAGCCTCACACATGGCCACAGTGCTTGCGCCAGTGACCAACATGACTCGTTACAGGCAGACATCCCAAAGCCATCCATTGTCATGTGTAGCCCTTGCCTGGCTTCAACTCCTGGCTGACCGGCTTGGAGTACTTGGCCTTGCACGGCTGCACAGACCACGATTGCAACATGCCTGCAGATGACAAACCACTCAACTTGAGTAGTGTCCAGCTTCTCTTCGTGTCAGAAAGCGGCTTAAGAAACCGGCAGCTCTTCTGAACACCCAGGCATAAAGCCTCAGCATCAGGTCTAGAGTCGCTCACAGTCTCGGACTCAAGATGTAACTAAACCGAGGATGAGATGGACAAGGCTTCGTGGCAAGTTAGGACAGCGGGGCTCTCGTACCAGCAACCCTCGGAGATTTACGTTTGTGTAGCGCCCGTGTGCGATGGGAATCTCTGCGGCCCTGCTATGACATCAGACAATGCCATCTAAACCCTTTACCCCAAGCCCTACTGTAACTCAACCTAAATCCTAAACCCTCATCTGACGAGCATGAGCATAAGCGAGAAGCTCAGGTCAGCACGTGGTGTAGCCGATCTTCCGAACGTCCTCGGGACGGCCTGATGCTTGTAGTGCGAATGAAGCACAACACACTTCCACTGCAGAAAACACGGAACACGTCAGCGGATCTGGATTGCCAACGAACTAAGCGCAAAGATGTTGTACGACACTTGGCTGGCTTTGACCATCACTGTAGTCCCCGACGAGAAGCTCCTGTCCTATGTTCAATCGCAAGCTCATGCATGTTCAAACCCACACTCGCATGCATCGACAAAGATATACGTGCTGTTTGTGCACATAAGCTCCGGGAGTCCGGCAACGGTGCTTCTTGAAGGTGTGTGACAGGCTCTTGACGTGCCTCTTCATCACCCAACCTGAGTCAACGCCAGAATTATCTGGAACTGCCCTTGTCGCACATCTCACTCGTGAGAAGAGTACCCCAAACCCCAAACCACAAGCGTATACTGCGGTCTCTGGGGAGACAACGGTCATTCACACGTCGGCCAAGCAGGAAGCAGTCGACGAGGTCGGCCCGTCCCACCAGCTTCGACGAGCCAACCTCCATGGCAATGTAATATAACACCCTAGGACTCGTGTGTGCTCTTGACCGTCGCTGCTATCACACAACATACTTTATTCTACACTGTGTTACTGGGTGTACGCTGAACCCTAAAATTTGTATGTGCTGGTTACCGTCGCTGCTATCACACAATATATTTTATTACGAGCTGCGTTAGTGGGTGTGCATGCTTAAACCTAAAATTAATATGTACTGGTTACCGTCGCTGCTATCACATAGTACACTTGATTATGAACTGTGTTTGTGGTCGCGCATGCTAAACCCTAATATGTATATTGGCTGTTCGAACAAAGCAAGAACGCCATCGCCACACGAATTTTTCCAAGAACAAGCACCGTCACCACGTGAAGCTTTCAAGGCAGAAGCGCCGTTGCCACACGAATCTTTCAAGGTAGACAGTCGTCGCCGCGCGAATGTTTCACGGGAAAAGCGCCGTGGCCACACGAATCTCCAAGGTAAAAGCACCGTCGCCACGCCAATCAAGGTAGAAGCACCCCATACGAATTTTGCTATGTAGAAGCACCGTCGTCACACGAATCTTTTCGAAGTCAAAGCGCCGTCGCCACCCGAACTTTTCAGGATAGAAGCACTGTCGCCACACGGATCTTTCAACGTAGAAGCCCGGGCCACACGAATCTTTCAAGGTGGACGGCTATCGCCGCGCAAATGCTTCACCGTAGTCGTGCGAACCCCTTCCTGCTGAAAAGCAAGCACTGGGTTCGGCACTGGTCGCAACCCTTTCCTTCGGCAGTCCAGAACCCTTTCCTCCTTGCAGCCGCGGCTGCAGCAGTGGTCACTCTTGTTGTTGCTGGTTGCTGATGCTGTTGATGTTGTTGTCGTTGCCGCTGCGGTTGCTATTGCTGCTTCGCCCGTCACCGTTGCCGCTCATGTTGGTGCTGCTCTGACTGCTGCCACTGCTCTTGTTGATGCTGTTGTTAATGCTTTTGTCCGACGTTGACGTAAAGGCCAAAAGAGGTACATGCCGTTTGCATTGGGTTTTACGGCACATCCTGCACTCGAAGTGCCGAAAACGTCGGCATGACTAGCTCTCGTGACATACCGTTTGCATCGGTTTTTACAGGTCTTCCTGCACTCGAAGTGCCGTTCGCATCGGTGGTGTCGGTGTTTCGTGCGTGGCGGGGTGGGCAGTGGCTTTGGGGGGGGGGGGGGG